TCTCTCTCTCTCTCTCTCTCTCTCTCTCTCTCTCTCTCCCTGTCTCTCTCTCTCTCTCTTTCTTTTGGAGGGGGTACCGGGAATCAAACTCAGGACCTTGAACTTGCCAGGCAGGTGCTGTGCCACTGTGTGTCAGTCACCTCAGCCCAGGACCCATCCCAGCAGCCTCATTTGAACTCAGTGCCCCCTTTTAAGATCCCATTTGCAAATGCAGTCGCATCCTGGGGTCTCTGTGGTTAGGGCTTCAGCATATAAATTTGGGGGAACAGAGTTCAGCCAGCTACACCGCTGGATGGACGGAGCGCAATGCCGATGAAGGAAGACACCGAATGCAGACACACAACCCAGCGGCCGAGCGCAGCACAGGCCGAGGGAAGCTCACAGCGCACGAGGAGGGAGCTCACGTGAGGCCGGGCATGCAGCTCAGCAGCACAGCGCCTGCCTGGCAAGTGCAAGGTCCTGAGTTCCATTCCCGGTTCCAAAAAGGAGGAGGAGGAGGAGAGGGAGAGGGAGATGGAGAGAGCACGCGTGTCCACAGCCATGGACTCAGGCTTTGGGCTTTAAACTAAACACCGGCAGGTAGATATTGCGGAAGAGATGCGGCTGTTCCCGGGATCGGCGCAATACCAAAGATCCAAGCCGCTGCACAGAGGGAAAGGGGCTGGGTGGGAAGAACAGAATTTCCGTAACTTCTGAGTCAACACCAAGCAGCCTCAGGTGCCTGGGTTGAGTGGGGAGAGGAAGGAAAAGGTGATTGAGGAAATATGTGAGCAGAGAAGAGTGTCCGAAGAAACAACTGCCAGAGGCTGCGTCAACTGATGAGACACAGAAGTCTGCAAATCACGCAGCTCACACAGCTTTAGGGAAGGGAAATGCAAAGGGAAGCACATCAAGTTGTTGGAAATCGAGGTTAAGAAAACTGTTAAAGCAGGTGGAGAAAAAGGTAAACTGCATACTGGGACGAGAGGGGACCCGCGACCTCCTATCGGAAGCAGCACAGAAGGGAGACAAAGGACAGGTGAAGAAAAGAAGTGAACGTTTAAATTTCTTTTTTTTCTTTTTTTTTTTTTCCGGTGTCAGGAATCGAACTCACAACCTCGCACTTGCCAGGCAAGCGCTTTGCCGCTGAGCTAAATCCCCAGCCCTGTGAATGTTTAAACTTCAAAAAAATCATTACAGTAAAAGACTCACTGCCATGAATCTGCCTCAAAATCCTCCTCCTCACCTTGAGCGCACTCATCCCATCGTCCTGGCCACGTCCTGCTGCAGCTCTGCAGTCCTCTTTCCCGAGTGTCTTTAGCTGCTCTGTCCTGGCTGTCTCAGCAACCTGAATTGATTCAAAATGTCCCCCTGTCATCGTCATTTTGACTGTGGGGAGGAGCCGAAGGTCACACGGTGCCAGATCTGGAGAATAAGGCGGCTGCGGACACAGCCTCGTGTTTTTACGAACTGCCTCGCTGTTGGATGGCGGCAGCGGTCCTACTTTGTGACACCTCGTAAGAGCACAGCGAGGAAGCGTGGGGCGGGAGCCACGTCAGGCCTGAGCCTCACACACTGTGGCTCCCGGAACCCAGCCTTGCGTCAGGCACTCAACGGGCCGGGGACTGCGGGGCAGAGCGAAGGGGACACGGGCGTCCTGGAGCTTGGAGGAACGTCGGCCCTCTTGCATTTTGCATCACCCAAATTACCTTTCACAGACCTAAAACATCGTCTAGACATGGGTGACATGGCTCTGTGCAAAAGAATAAGACAGCCTGCCCGCTTCCCTGACTGGCATTCCCGTCTGTGACAAGAGGGGAGAGGACTTGTCAAATGCTGCCCTGTCCCCCTCACCCCCAAAAAGCCAAGTGGTAAGGTCAAGTTTCCACTGTTATCAGGAAAGGGGCATTTTCATCACCCAAACTTGCGCGGGCAGCGTCCGGGCTGGAGAGGAGGGTTGAGAGACCTGCCCTCCTGGGGCTGCCCAGGGTTCCAGGCTCCTCCGGTTCGGTTGTGCCAATCAGGAGAGTGGGTGAGCTACAGGATCCTGACAGTGAAGGACCTGACCGAAGCCAGGAGAAGCAGCAAGCTGGGAAGCCACTGGCGAGACTTTTCTGGGGTGGGGGTGAAATGAGAGAGGTCCCCAGGGATGCATTCGGGTGTCATCCGAATAAGCCCTTTTCAAACCTGTTGTGGAGAGTGATTGCACTTCATGTTCCTCGAGAGGCTTCTGTCCAGATCGAATGACTTCCAAAGTCTCGTGGTAGCAGGTGTTCTGTGTTTGTGGTTGCCGCTGGTTTGACACCATGCTGAGATGAGCCATAATTGGGCCAGTGTTTAAACTCAAAAATACTCAAACCATTCACACTGTGTGTCAAGGTAAAATGAAGCACTGGGTAGGAGTTGGTACAGGTCAACTATGTGGTTTCCTCTTTACTTTATTTTTTGTCTGTTTTTGAGACAGGGTCTTGCTATGTAGCCCAGCCTGGCCTCAAACTGGTAGTGATGCTCCTGCCTCAGCCTCCCAAGTGCTAGGATTACAAGTGTGCACCATCGCGCCTGGCCCACTGCCTGTCTTTAAAATCAAGCTTTATTGAAACACAGCCACGCTTTTCCCCTTAGGTGGTCTATCGCTGCTTTCTGGCCATAGAGGCAGGGCTGGGAATTATGACAAAGACCACACGGCCCAGAAAACCTAAAATGTTGATGTCTCACTTACTTGTTGCTGAGACAAACATATCTGACACCCAAGGTTAAAGGAGGAAAGGCTTATTTAGCTCACAGTCTGTAAGTTTTAGTGCATAATTGGCTGGCTCCAAGGAGGGTGGCACATGGCAGAGGAGCAACAGCTGATGGTGGCAGAAGACAGCAAAAGCAACAAGAGCAAAGGGGCAGCAAGGCTCTTCCTATCCCTTTTATATCACCCACACTGCTGGGATTAGGCGGGTGCCAGTCCAATCAGTGCACTAATTCAGCAGTCACTCACCCTTACTCCCAGAACTGCACACTCTAGATTCAGCCACCTCCAAAAACGTCCCGTGTCCGCCTGAGGCTTTGGGGGGATATCTAGACACAAACCATAAAAATTGACTATCTAGCCCTTTAAAAAAGATACTCCACTTACTTCTTTTTTTTTTTTTAATTTTAAAGAATAAAAGAAGGATAACATAATAATAGGGGGGACTTAGCAAATTACAGACAAAATGGTAGGAAATTATCAATGGCTATCGTTTTACATATTATTATCTACAAAATAGTTTCTCAGGAAAACAAATAGACAAATAATAGTGAGTTAGAGACAAAAGAGGTAGGAGATTATCAAGAGTTGTTGTGCTATACTTTGGTATCTTCAAAGTGGCTTCTAAAGAAAATAACTAGAGCTATACATGAGTGACCTATTGAAAAATCATTAACTATTCTCAATGGTTGTTGTAGGAAACACATAATAATAAACATACATTATGAAATAGGATAGGAACATTACAAACTTAACACAGTTATGGATAGATTAGTAGGAAAATATCAATGGCTGCTGTAATACATGGTGGTATCTTCAAAGTGGTTTCTCAGGAAGACAGAGATATGTAAGAAGGATCTAATAAGTAGTTACAGCCTAAGGGTTGTCAAAAATAGTGTATTACCTCCTCACCAGTGACTCCTTTCACTGAAGTATGACGGCTGGAAGGAAGGCCAGGATTGAAAAGAAGGACCGAGAGACTTGCACCTGTGACTAGCAACAGGCTGTTTTCTTGTTCCTCCATAGTCATGATTACCCAGGACTCCTCGATGGAGATGACGGTCCAGCCAGAGGGAGAAGGCAGACCATGCCCCAAGCCCTCTCATTCCTGTTGGACTAACTGGTAGCATGGGTCTGAGCTCTGGGGCCTCCACCTCAGAGGGCAGACCGATCTCCAGTGGTGTCCCTTGCGTGCAGGGCATAGCCCATGGGTCCTCTTAGGGCAGTTCCTCTTGAGATGGCCTGGCTTTTAACAGTGGTAGCCGATGAATGCAGTTGTCGAGTTCTTCTTGGAGCCCCGGGAATCAGACCTGGGATCTGTTTCTCTTAGTGGTGCAGCAAAAGCAGCTGCTTTTTCTGTCTCTTTGTTTTCTCTCCTTGGCCTCCTCCTCATCATGGCTATAGAATACTGAGGAGGCAAGTCTTACTAACATCTCAAGTGAGCTATCTGAGGTGAAAGCCAGTCTTTGTAGCTTTTTCTGTCCAGCTTCCCATTGCTTTGGGACCCCACAACCAGTTAGTGTCCTCTCCCCAACTGTCAGCACAGGCAGCAGGAATCCTGCTGCAGACTTCTCCGGAGCTCCACCACAGCCTGTACTGTCAGGGGAAGAATGGCTTCCAATGAGTCTCTGCAGGTATTGTGCAAGGTCCTCCTGGTTTACACCTTCCGAGCGGCTCTCGTGACCCCAGTCCACTGGACCTCTGACTCCGTGGGCTTAGTCTGCATTCTCATGTTCTCTGAGTCCTTGTTCAGCAGCTGCTCCTCTGCTGGCTCTGGACCTTTCTGGTTCCCAATGGCAGGAGCAAGAGTGGCCCGTTGTATGGCATATATTCCCAGGGGTTGTTCAAAGTTTCAATGATTCACACACATCCATGGGTGGGCAACTGCAGTCGGTGCATGGTGGTCCAATTGTGTCACTGTTTCTCTGTGTCATGATAGATCCCAATTGAGCGGCGGCGGCTGGCCTAAGGGCCGGTGCGCAATAGCGCTCGCCGCCGCATGGCTCCCCATGCGCTTGGGGCCCACCCTTCCACTTACTTCTGTACTATCTACAATCTTCAAGTGGGCTAAAGTGAATTTAAAAATAAAGGTAGAAGTATTTATATTTTACTTTGAAATGGTACAGAAATAAGTCTTAATTTTCTCCTCCCTCTGTAATCTGATCTTGAAAGTCATGTGCTTTAGCGGGCCCCTGGTGGGGAGACGCTGCTCCAGCTTCCCGGATTTCTTCCCTGGTGTGGATGCAGACAGAGGCGTCGATATGATTTGAGACCTAGAATTCAGGCTTTCGTTCGGCGCTGCTGTGACACCCGGTGGCACAGAGGGGCTGCCGGTGGCCTAACCCAGGGTCCTCACCCCACAGCTCCTGGGATAGCTCTCCCACCCACGCCCTTCCCTCTCCAAGGACCGGGCTCGGTGCCTGTGTATCCAAGAGTAGTGGATCCTGCTCCGTGCCAGCCCACAGCCGTGTTGAAACAAGCTATCCCACCGCCAGCAGGAGCCTCGGGCCGCCACACCCTGCTGATACCGCACAGCCTGGACCCGCTCCCTTGGCGGGTGGCCGAACACCACCCACGCGCCCCTCTGTGAGGCTATCACCGAGGCTGTTCCCGTCCACCAGGCGCTGGGGGCCCAACCAGCCCTGAAACCCTGGGGAGGGCAGAGCAGGCCTTCCTGTGGGACCGACTGCCTTCAAGGGGATTGTGGGGCAAACAGTCTCGGAAAATAAGCAAGGTGTCCCTCTCTGGAACAAAGGTCAGGCGAGCTCAGACCCCCAGGGTCAGGTTCCTCTCCGGGAGCTCCGTGCCATCCCAGGACAGTGGGGACCAAGGACCCAGGCCAGGCATCCTGCTGCCCTTGTGCTGCTATGCCAGGGGCAACAACAGCCCCCGTCTCTGACCCAGGAATCTCTTGTGCTGGGGTGCTCGGGACCATGCCAGACCCCCATGTCAGCTTGCAGGAGCACAGAGCTTGACCCATCCCCCATTACCACCACCAAGCCAGCTAAGCCCGAATGCAGAAAACCGTCCCCGTCTGCTTCTCCCTAGACACCGGCTTGCCTCAGGCTCTCTGCCAGCTCAATGGACATGACTCTGCCGGACCCATCTTGCTCCCACTGCAGAGTTCAAGTCAGAGCACACAAAGACCCGAGAGCGATGACGAAATGCCCTGGATAGTCCTGCCTGTCCGAGTCACGCTCTGTAACCTTCTTGGACCTCGACTCTGGTCCTTCCTTCCCGACAGCTCTCAACACCTCGCAGCGAGCCCTGAGCTCCGGAACCAGCCGGCTGGACGTCTTTCTCCCCGGCTGACGTTTCCTGACAGCCTCACCAGCACTAAACATTTCAACACGTCAGCCCTCCCCTGCTCACAAAGGCAGACGAGGAAGTTCTCTTAGGTTCGTGCTATCTCTCTACGACTCAGCTAGTAACCCCACAAATGGGCTATAAAACCAAACTTGGCTGGGGGATTAGTTCCTGATTTGACCTTTAATTCAACAGTCTGTGAACAAAACCCCCTTGTCGTCTGGAAAGTTCCCCGGAAGCCACAGAACCTCCAAGTTCATGCCCAGCTGCGGAGGAGAAAAACGCAGGGACCACATCCAGCCATCCAGCCCCGAGGTGCGCTACTCCGTCCACAGCCCAGGTGGAGTTGGGGGACAGGGGCGCAGCCTCGGCCCTCAGGGGGAGCACACACCTCGGGCTTGGGTGAGGGAACCAGAGTTCCCCATGGCAGCAGGGCCCAGAGTGGAGGTTTCCGCCCGGGCAGACGGACAGGGCTTCGGGAGGACATGTCCTCTCGATGCGCATGACTCTCGGGGCCTCCACTTCCCCTGGGGCCGACGGGTCCCGGCGTGTGACTGATGTGGGGATGACAGGACCCGGCCCTGAGGCACGGGCTAATCAGGACCCGGGCTTCCCGTCCTGTGCTAACGCCCCCGCTGGTTCCCTCCTTTCTCATCTTACAGATGGCCAGCTCCCACAGTGCGTGAAAGCGGCCAGGCCCAGGCATAATATCACCTGTCCCTGCACAAGCGTCCTGGTGGCCCACAGCCTGCCCCTCCCACCTCTTCGGCTCCCCGAGACTGTTTTTTCCTTGCCACCTGGAGCAGAATGGGCCGCGCGGACCCCAGACCCACAGAGGGCGCCCGTGTAAACAGGCAGCAAGCGGGGGACCCTTTGTCGGGGCCTCAGACCACCAACAGGGCGGGCACCAGGCTCTCAGACTTCTGGCCACCCCGACTCTGGGACGATCGACGTCTGTGGCTGGAGGTCTCTGGGGCTGCAGCAAACCAACACACCACGCAAGATGGAGGAGCGGGAGGGGGCACCAAGCGACCGCAGGAGCAGCTCTGAGGGACAGCGGCATCAGATGTGCCCAGAGCCGACGCAGCCTCCCGTTTATTCTAACCTGCCTCCATTTAGACGTTACCCCCAATACAGCGTCAACACTGGCAACACAGTTGTCACTGCATCATTTAGAGAATAAAGAGCAGACACTGTTCACGCTCGGGGCCGAGACTTTTATTTTTGGTGCCAGGTTGGTGGGACCCTGTGGTATAGGAAGCCAAGAACACACCCCACCCCACTCTTCAGCCTGTCGAAGAACCTGGATCCCAACCCACATCCTGAGTCTGTGTTGGGGTGAGGGGGACACCACGCACGCAGCCCCCGGCCATCTGCCTCTGAGATTTCCCCACAGTGACTCTCCCTGTGAGAGGCTGTCTGGCCTTTTGTCTGAAGAGCTACAGGGATATGGAATATTCTAGAAGGTTCAGCTTCAGGGACATGGAACATTCTAGAAGGTTCTCTGGGTCAGTAGGAGGAGCACAATGTACAAGACGCCACAGCCAGCAGGAACAGTGTGTGTCTGGCCAGTCAGGGACAGCGTGAGCTGGCACTCACCTCGGCTGACGGGTTCTGTGGCTGAGGGAGAGACACACAGGTGAGGCTGCCCGCTGCCAAGCAGCCCACACAGAGGCGAGAGTCCCAGCGTGGCCTCCACCCCACATAGGACCCGCACCTTTGGGGCACTGGGAGCACTGGTCCCATGCGCTCAACCTCACCCAGTGTCTTCCCCAAGGTGTGAGGGACTCGGCCCTTCAAGCACCCTTGGGGTGAGCCTGGGCTCAACTTCTCAGCAGGGCTGTTCCTCTTCCTGGTGGCGGTCGTCACCGCAGTGTGCTCAGTTCCCACATCACACAGGGCCAGTGCCCTGAGCCCAGGAAGGCCGCTGCCTCCCGGCCTCCTTGCCCAGGGACTCGCTGCCGTGGCATCAGGGACATGCTGCCCTGTCACCGCTCCCAGGAAGCCCGAATGGCTCAGAAACATTGTTCCCAGGGACACTGGGGTACTAGGAGGGGGCAGCAGGGTGGGCAGGATGTGAGGGCACGGTGGAGGTGGCTGGAGGGGCCCTGGGGGGACGGGGCTCAACAACCACAGAAGCAGCACCCTGTCTGTCTCTTCTCTCTGTCCCTACACCCAGCCCATGCACACCCACAGACGCACACGAGTGCTCACAGGCATGCACACACGTGCACACACATACACACATGCACACACATACACATGCACGCACCCACATGCACACAGGAAAACACACACACAGGCACTCACTGCGAATACAGTGAATGTCCAGTTTTAAAAATACATTTATTACAGTAAAAGACAGCTCTGTGAATCCCCTCTAAGCCCTCTGCCGGCTTCCCTGCACACAGCCCCTTCCCCTTGGTCCTCAGCTCTGCAGTCCTCGTTCCTGATGGCTTCACCACACTGTCCTGTCTGTCTCGATGTCCTGAATCGATTCAAAACATTTCTTTTTTTGTCTTTTTGAGACAAGCTCTCTCTTTGCAATTCAGGCTGGCCTTGCGCTCACTTTGTAGCCCAGGTTGGCTTCAAACTTGCAACGATCCTCCTGCCTCAGCCTCCCGAGCACTGGGATTACACGTGTGCACCCCCACTCCCAGCATCAAAGTGTTTCCCCCTCGTGGTCACTTTAACTTTGGAGAAGAGCTGGGAGTCAGCCGGTGCCAGATCCCGTGACGAAGGTGGGTGAGGACACAGCGCTGTGTTTTTGTTTGACAGAAATTGCAGTAAACAGTTGATCAACATGGTATGACCATGAAATACAGTGTCTAAATTTTTATATATGTGTTACAGTAAAAGACACATTACTGTGAGTCCCCCCAAAATCCTCCCCTGGCTTCAAAGGTGCTAATCACACGGTCCTCGGTACTGTGTCAAAACCTTACTGGAATAAGTTTTGTTCTAATTTAAACTTCCGGACCCTCGCTCGCCCCACGTGCCTCTCCCCCAGCAGCCCCTCTGCCAGGTTTTCCCGGCCCACGTGGCCCCCACGTACCCTCTTGCTGCCCACTGTTGGAACTCTCCTGCCTGTGCGACTGTCCTGGTGTCAGAGACCCACGGCTGTGCTCTGCCGATGCCCCCAAGCCCACCCTCATGTGCTTGGGGCAGGGGACTGCAGGGCCCCACCAGGGGGTGGATCCTGTGGGTGACCGCGACCCTTCCTGCCCTGGTGCCCAGGAGCCCCGGGTCCCGCTGGTGGAGCTGAGGCCACTTCTAGGAGGTGTGGCCAGAGGTCAGGACAGCAGAGGCGCCTGGGGGGTCTCTGCAGAACCCAAAGGCAGGGCAGCAGGTGAGGCTGCTGTCCTGGATCCATGTGCTCCTCCACCTGCAGGAACCCAGGGAAAATGGAGGGTGGCAGTATTTCCCTGTCACCTGGCCTGGCACCTGCCCACGAGATGCCCTTCCTCTGCTAGCTGCCCCAGCAGGGGGCTCCTGACTCCCTGGAAATCGTCATTTAAAACCACACAGCTCTGTGTGACCAAAGGGAGGTGATTTCTAGTGAGCCCCCAGCTTCTGCCAGGCTTGGGGTTGCCTGAGTCTCTGATACTCTTCAGTTCCGGGAAAGTGCAATCAAATCTCAGGAGCCCCAGCAAGCAGCAGATCGCCCACAGGGACACTTGGTTTACTTAGCACAGTGCATGGACACAGGAGTCAAATCAGAAGCCTCAGGATGCCCCGGTTCTAGCTCTAGCTTTTCCTCAGTATCACAGAATGGCTGCTGAAGCACCAGAAGGAACTCGTGTACCATGACATCCAAACTCTGGCTGCAGGGCCTGGCCAGAGAGCCCGCCTTTATCCAGGAAGAAAAGCCTTCCCCAAACCTTTGCTTCTCTGTGTCTCACCACCACAATCCCACGGCCACCTCCGCTGGAAGAGGTGGGAAAGTGAATTCTCCCCCCGTTCTGTAAGGAGCAAATCTGGGTGGGAGCGGGCAGGAGCCGGCAGGCACTGCCCAGGAGTTGGGCCGCTGTGTGACATCACGGGGACCCCATCTCCCTGCTCTGAGAATAGTGCAGAGGGCACAGGACACCAGCGGGACCCCAGAGACCCCAGGCTGCACCCCAACATGGGCCAGCCACATCCAAGGCCATGATTGATGACCCTCAGCCACGCCTGCGCCGGGCCCTGGGCGGAGCAGGGAGGAAGGGCGTGGATCGGGCGCTGTCCCCACCCTGGGGCCAGGCGGCAGCAGTGGAGTCCGCGGTGACCCCAGGCTGAGCTTCCGAGGGGCCCAAGCTTGGCATCTGTCGGGCAGAGTGGATCAGACACTCTACGGACGGGCAGAGGGGAGCCCGGGTTTTTCTCTGGGCTCACGGGAGAGGCCGCCCCTCAGTGCCCGTCTCCGCCGCAGCTCGAGGGTGGCAGCCCACCCACCGTCACGGTCCCTGTTCCCACAGGCAACCAACAGGGACCGGAAGACACCGGAAGAACTTGGTGCTTACGCAGGAGTTGTCCGTACTGTGTGATTTTCTCTCCCTTGCTGGGGATGGAGCCCACGGCCTTCATACTGAGGTCACCAGAACTTCTCTCTCTCATTTATTTATTTATTTATTTATTTATTTATTTATTTATTTATATTTTGAAACAGCATCTTGCCAAGTCACTAAGTAGCTTAGAATGAGCTTGAATTTACCATTCTCCTGACTCAGCCTCCCACAGTGCTAGGATTGCAGGCATGTGCCAGCTGCTGCGCTGGTGCATGTGTGTGGTGGGGGTGTGAGTGTGGGGCTGGGGATCGAGTCCAGGCTCCAGCACTGAGCCATATCCCCAGCCTGTTTTTCTGATTTTTGAAACCAAATGTCACCATGTACTTCAGGCTGGCCTTGAACTCACCATGTAACCCAGGCTGGCCTTGAACTGGAGGGATCTTCCTGCCTCTGCCTACTGAGGGCTGGGATTATAGTTGTGTGCCACCACACCTGGTTGGCGGTGTTTTCTCTTGTCCTTATTCCCTCAAAAGATACAAGATGACAACTATTTACATTCACACTGTGCCAGGCACTGCAAGCCACCCGGAGAGGGCCTGCATGGTACTGGGCAATACTATGCTCCATGTCACGTAGAGGACCTGCGGGAGTCCTGAACCAGCCCCCATGGATGCTGAGAGATGACCACATGCTGTGTGTGGAGAACCAGTCCTCCTTGTTCCTGGGCATCTCTGCGGAGAGGATCCCCGGCTTCTCAGCCTCCTACCTCTCCCCTGGAGGCCAAGGGCTTGGGAAGGGCGCCCTAGCTGGGCGGGGTGGCCCCCAGGCGCAGCACGTCCCCTCTCCTTGGAGCCAGCTGGCTGCAGGGCAGGCGTCTCAGAGCCCCAGCGTCCCCAGGAGCAAGGGTGCGGGCTGTAGCCAGCCTAGGACACCTGGGGTCGGGGCTGGGAATCCAGGGCCCCCGGCCTGCTTGGCTTTGGCGGAGCCCCCGGGAATAGGAGCAACTGGGGTCATCTTTCCATGCTCCCCACCAGGGCTCTGGGGCCCCCCCATGCTTCTCTCTCGGGGCCACACATGGCTGGGACCCAGCCGGCAGCTGCAAAAGGCTCGGTCCCCTTGCATCTGTCCTGCGTCAGCAGGAGGGTGACTTTGGCTTCTGTGTCCCTCTCCTCTCTTCTCTTTTTGTACAGACCTGGGGGTGTGGAAGGGCCCTGAAGATGCCAGCCCCCCGCTGCCCTCAGCACGGTCACTGCTGACCCCAGACACACGCCCAGGTCTCCCGAGCCAGCTGCCGTGCGGGAATGTGGAGGAGTGAGAGAGTTCGGGGCTTGGGCCAGCACAGCGAGTGTCACGTGGCGGGAGCCAGGGCGCCAGCAGCCGCGGGCAGGGGCGACCCGGCCGGCCACTGGGCACCCAGCAGACCCCACCTGCCAGCGCCCATGCCCACCTCACGGAGCGGGGAGGCCCCAGTGACAGTGTGGCCCACGACAAGAACCAGAGGTGCAAATGTCAGATGTCCCTTGTGAAAGGACAAGAAGCACAAGTAACCACTCCTCTCTTTTAATTTTAAGCCGATTTTGAGTATGAAAATCCAGGGCGTCGATCTGTGTCTCATGACCTCACCGGCTGCAGCAGGGAGAGGCTCTGTCTCCCGGGGGGGCGCCAAGCTCCAGGGCCACCAAGGGCAGGATCGTACCGGGGCAGGAGGCCACGGGTCCCGGCAGGAGCAGCCACTAGAAGACACACTCTTCCTCTGCGGGAGTCAGAAGAGAGGCTCGGGTGAGCTCTTCTCACTTGGAAAGAACTGCGGTTTTACTCAGCAGGAGGACTCCGGCAAAGGCGAGGGCTCCACACTGCTGTGGCTGCCTGTCCACCCCCACCCCGCACCCGGGCACCCCAAGGCTGCACCTTCTTCCACGGGGACTTGCTGCTTGTGGAAGCACCAGGGGACGCCGCGGAACGTGTCGCTGAAGCAGCAGCCTTTGGCCTCGCACTCCTTGCGCGTGATGCCATTGAAGCCGCAGTTCGAGCGCTCGTGGGGGGCCACTTCGCAGGTCTCTGGCAGGGCGGGCAGGAGTCAGGGAACGTGGGCCAGGGGCCGTGGTGCCTGGGGCAGGGCTGCCCACGCTGCCCACAAATGCATCCACCCATCAGATACATAGTTACAGAGCACGGTTCTTGGGTGCTCCGGCTGGGTGACAGGGACCCAGACATCCAAACAGGGGCGCTGTCGCTCAGAGGCTGGGTCTAAGGTCCGAGGCAGCACAGTGCGGGGCTCCCTGTGTGCCCGAGAACTGTGAGCTGGGGCGCTCCTGGAGGACCCCGGACAGGATGGAAGGGCAAAGCTGGGAGGGCTTCCTGCAGAAGGAGGCGGGGACACTGTGGGTGCAGGGGGCGCTCTGAGGGGAGGCCGCAGAAGGATGCGAGGCGGGTCTGGGGGGTGCGGGGGAGGACCGGCCGGTGCAGAAGACCAGACAGGGTGATTTCACGCTGGGAGCAAAGGGAACCGCTGGACAGGCCGTGGTGACGTGGGTCTGAAGGGGAGCAGGTGGGGGGATCTGCCGCTATTGGGGGCCGGGGCACAAGGGCCTGACCCTGGGGCTGTGCCTCCGGATCCTGCTAAGATCTGGTTGGGGCCCCTGAAGGATGCGGCGTGGGCCTTGCCATCTCTGTCCCCGGGTCCGTCCCGGGCCCTCGAGGTGCTGGGAGGACACCAGCCGCCCTGCTATACACAGGAACCAAACTGGAGCACTGGGTGTGTGATCACGGAACCCAGGCGGCCCTGTCATGGGCTCCTGGACCCCGGGATCCCAAAATCAGCCCCCAGAAGACGGGGTGGGGGTGGCTATCACACCGAACAGGACCCTCTGGGGTCAGGCCACCGGGGGACCCTCCGCCCCGTCATGGCCGCTCCGTCTCCGAAGTGTGGCCTGCTGTCGCCCCTTCCTGCTGCCCTGATGCGCCCACCCACTGGCCCCAAGTCAGGGGGGTCTTGGGAGCCGCCCAGGGGGGCGGAGTTTCAGTTCCTCCTGTCCCTCTGTGGGACCGTTGACCTGGGGGCGCTGGCAAGCCCTTTCTGCTGTTCCCCCACCCCGAAAACTGGGTCTCCCACCTCCAGCGACAGTGACCTGGACCCTCGCAGCTCAGGGGGTGCTTTCCACAGCCCGGCCAGCTCCCTTTCCTTTTCTTTTCTTTTTTCACTCAAGGAGGTGTAATAATAAAAATGTGCAAAAATATCCAGATCAGAAACACTTCACACACCGGGCATGCTAGCCCACGCCTGTAACCCCAACACTCGCAGTCACAGCTCCTGCTATGCAGTTCAGGCGGGACTTGAATTCCCTGTGTAGCCCAGTCTGGCCTCCAACTTGTAGGGATCCTCTCCTGCCTCAGCCTCCCAAGCGTTGGGATTACAAGGGTGTGCCAACACGCCCGACAGGAAGTGCTATCTCTATGCCAGATACCCAAAACTCCTACCACAGTGTGACACTAACCGCAGCACGGCACTGAGGGTTTGTGCTGGAAGACGGGATCGGCCAGGGATGCTCCTGCCGGCCCCGGCCGCGCACGAGGCTGCCTTACCTGTCTGGGCCCCAGCCAGCGTGCCAAAGACCAGCATGAGGACGACAGCCAGGACGCAGGTCACCTTGCGCTCCATGGCGGCTTGGCCTCTGGACTGCGGAGCAGATGGAGTCGGCTGGGGACCCAGCGGCGCTGTCTTTATACCCCAGCCCTGTTTGCCTAAAGAGTCGAGGCAGCGTTTACCTAAGGAGTCACCGCTGACTGTGAGAGGCGCCGGGGTGGGGCCGTTGTGGGGCTGGAACCTGAGTCAGGAAGCCCTTCTCTCATGTGGTAGCTCCTCCAGAGTGACCCTGGGCCGGGGCGGAGTGGGTTGGCCTGGCCTTCTGTCCCAGCTAACGCTGAGCTCACCAGGGCCGATTCGGGGTGTGAAAGGGGCACTGCGACAGCAGCCAGTACAGGTTTCTTTTTTGGTGGTGGTGGTGGTGATACTGGCGATTTGCACTGAGCTATATCCCGACCCCCTTTTTTATTGTTCATTTGGAGACAGGGTCTGTGCAGATCTCTAATTCACCTCAGCTGGGCTCAAATTTGAGATCTTCCTGACTCAGCCTCCCAGAGTGCCGAGATTACAGGGGTGCACCTCCACACTCAGCTTCTCTTTTTCCTAGGAAGTCCACAGCCCCTGGGAGGGAGCCTGGGTTAGAGCTGCGGCAGCCAGACTGTTCTTTTTTCCTTGCCAGGGCCCAGCCCTCCCTGTAATGCAGCCCCAAGAGGGCTGGGGTCTGCAGGCGGGACCTCTGCTAGGAGGGCTGAGTTCCCACAAAAAAGGGGGGCCGGGCATAGTGACGGGGACCTCGCAGGACTCAGCTGTCCAGGCTCAGCAACAGCACCCCGGAGACTGGAGAGCAAGTCGTGCAGCTCTCGGCAGAAGAGTAGGTGATGCTGGCTGTGGCCGAGCTGTGCTTCCGTGAGGGCCCCCGAGCAGTGTGTGCGCATGTGCGGAAGGACGCGTGAGTGCGCACGCGCGCGGAAGGACGCCTGGGTGGAGTGGGCTTTGCAGCCCTGCGTGCGACGTGTAGAAAGGCAGGGAGGGAGCGAAGAGCGGAGAGAGAGAAGAGTGGATGCTCAGAAGTGCTCCTGACAGAAGGGGACGAGGAACTGATACACTCAGTGCAGTGCAGTCATATTAAGGTATAGTGTGTACAGCAGAGGGCCTTTTACACTTTTATGAACTATGCGCAACACACAGCGTGAGTGCTTAAACTTCTTGCACTAAAAGGCACACTGGCATGAATCCCCCTCAAAATCCTCCCTGTCGCATCAAGCACACTCGTCCCATCATCTTTGCGACTTCCTGCAGCAGCTCTGGAGTCCTCTCCCCTGAGGGTCTTAGCTGCGCTGTCCTGGCTGCCTCAGTGTCCTGAATGGATTTAACATGTTTCTCCTTCTGGTCATTTTGACTTTGGGGAAAAGCCAGAAGCCACACGGTGCCAGATCCGGTGAATAAGGCGGAGGAGCACCCAGCGTCGCGTTCTTAGGAGCTGTCTTCCTGCTGGATGGCAGTCACCCTAGCTTTGATCACACCTTATAAAGACTCTCAGGAAAGAGGACTCCAGAGCTGCCGCAGAAAGCGGCCAGGACGGTGGGATGAGTGTATGTGAGGGAGGGGGAGGATTCTGAAGGGAATTCGTGACACTGTGTCTTTCAAAATTTAACGACAGAATGTATGTTTTGATCACCTTTTGTACATAGAATATACACTTTATATACATTATATATTTATATAATTGCAGAAGATTAAAATGAATACCCAATGAGAAATTTTACATACAAAGTTAAGTGAAGAATAAAATAAGCCTCTGTCTTAACACATATCACCATTTATGATGGAGATTTCCAAAATGTGTCAACCCATGCCACACAGGGGGACTGGAACCGGGACAAAGTATAATAACGGCACACGTACAGGTAGGTAGGAGACCCACCTGCCTCAGCATACAGCACATCTGGGAAGAAGCAGGAGAAACGGAGTATGGGAGGGCACTGTGGGACCTTGGCTGTGTGTGGGATGTTCTGCTGAGGAAAATCTAAAGGGAAGGGGGGAGGAAGGTCAGCACCTTTTAACCAGCTGCATGGACTCATGAGACAGTACTGGGGATTGAACCCAGGGCCTTTGCACTGAGCGACACCGCCAGCCCTTTATATTTGAGACACAGGCTCATTAAGTTGCTTGCTAAGTTGCCAAAACTGGGCTCAAACCTTTGATCCTCCTGCCTCAGCCTCCCAGGGTGCTGGGATTACAGGTGTGCACCATCATTCCTGGCTGTGATTATTGCCCAGTTCCCACCCAGGGGGGAAATCCGTAAGGGGGAATCCCTGAGGCTCTGGCTTTGCCTTCACAACTTGGGGGTGGAGTGACTGGAGCAACCTCGGTGGGGACAGCGCGTGCGGGCCCACCATGGTGAGGGAGGGTAGCCTGTGAGATTGCCATGGGGCGGGGAGTAAACCCTGAAGACAGGGGTCGTGACAGGAGAATCGAAGGGAGTGCTGGTGCACTCTCTACCTCACGGCTGCCTCAAGTTTCCTATGGCAGATCCAGCGACTGCGCCCTGCCCTCCTGGGCCTCCACTGCCCTAGGGCTCCCAGGCGCCATCCAGGCAGGGAAATGCGTGGAGCCACTGGGGAAACCAGTGTGGAGCTCCCTGAGCACTGTGGGAACAGAACAGCCAAGGGGCGAGGCAACTCCTCCCGCCGATTCTATGACCAAAGTGATGGAGTCAGGCTGGGCGTCGTGGCGCACACCTGTAACCCCAGCACTCAGGAGGCTGAGGCAGGGGGATCACCATGAATGCAAGGCGACTGCAAAGCAACACCCTGCCTCGAGAAAAGAAAAAAATTACAAAATAAAAAGAGAATGGAGTTGGTGTGTGGAAGTGACACTCACACTGCCAAGGCCGTTGCTGCACCAGCTGTGGGAGCCACGGGATGGGTGCAGCCCACACGAGGCACACCCATACGCACACTGGGGAATACTACACGGCCCGACACAGAAGGAAAGCCCGACGAGGCGGCGACCCGGTGACGGCTGAGGGTGTTACCTGAGGGAGGCAGCAAATAGCTGGTGAGGACATGAGCAGGTTGCTCTCACGGAAGTGGAGACCGGAATGGGGGTTCCCAGAGGCAGGAAGGGGTGGGGATAAGGGCAGAGGAGTGCGGCTAACAGTCCCGGGCAGTGGGAGAGGACCAGGCATGCCCGTGTCCTGTGGCTGGTAATGAACTGGGTATTTCTAAACAGCTACTAGTGGGGCTTTGCAGAATGGGAGGAGGAGAGGAGGCGGCTCGGGGCCATCTCTCAGTGCCTCTGCGGTGGGCCCTGGACCGGCCATGTCCCTGTCCCCGAGGCCGGCAGCCTGGCAGCGGCTCCTCACCCCGCCTGCCAGCGGAGCTCAAGCCCCGCAACACTGCCCTCGCTTCCTTTCCCGTCCTCAGCGGCCGGGCTGGGGAGGAGTCCGCCTAGTGACCCAGCGACACGGTGGCGTTCGCAGCCTGTCACAGACACACGGGCATGGTGAAGGTGGAGCGAGAGCTCTCAACACAGAAGGACGCTAATTGCCCGCGGTGACCCGCGCGATACGGAGGTTGATGTAGCTGCCCCGCGAGGGTGCACAGACGCTGAGACGGGTGCCGTCCAGCATCAGTGCAGGGCTGAGCCCAAGGTACGGTGGATATTTAAACATTAGAAATGTGTTACAGTAAAGGAAACATGGCCACGGTCGACGGGGTGGGGGAGTAGGTAGAGGGGGTTCGTGACAATGCGTCTTCTAACTGTAATACATTTTTTCATTTAAGCATTCACCGTATTTTATGATCACCCTGTGTTGATCAACCACTTAGGGCACTCTCTGTGAAATAAAAACAACGCCGTGTCTCCAGCCACCTTACTCACTGGATATAGCCCTGTGTGACTTCCCGCTCTTCCCCCAAAGTCAAAATGACCGTGAAAAGTCAGCGATTTGAGTCCATCCAGAACATCACGGCAGCCAGCACAGCGCAACTAAACGTGCTCAGAAAAGAGGACCCCAGAGCTGCTGCAGGAAGTGGGGTGGGTGAGGAGACACATGTGTTGGATGTGAGATTCACGGCAGCACTTCATTTATTGTAATAAATTTTTGAAATTTAAAAATCCACTGTATTTTTTATTGTACTTTGTATGTATAATTTTTACCCACCCAATTAATTAATAAAGATTTGAAAGCCAGGTGTGGTGGTGCACGCCTGTAACCCCAGTACTCCGGGGAGGCTGAGGCAGGAGGATCATTGGGAGTTGGAGACCACCTGGGCTTCAAAGTGAGTTCAAGACCAGCCTGGACTGCAGAGTGAGACCCTGTCTCAAAAAAGACAAAAAACAAACAAAGAAACAAACAAATAAATAAATAAATAAAAGATTTGAGAACAGAGCCACACCTTGGTGAGGAGCCCGTAGATAGCACCCTCTGGAAGCCCTGTGGCCCCAGCCTCCGAGGCCAGGCTGAAGAGGGAACCACAGTCCTTCGAGGAGGACGGTCCACGCTCCTCAGGAACAGGCTTGGGAGCAAGGCCTTTCCTCAAGCCTTCCCCAGGGTGGCCTGGGTCACTTAGCAGTGCCCTGGGTTTCACAGTGTCCCCAGCACCCTCTTTGGAAATCGGGTCTTTGCAGATGATGCAGTTAGGATGGAGTCATTAGGGAGGATGCAAATACCTACAGGGGGCAGTGACATAGAGACCGGGGGAAACATGGGGGAACTCCAAGACCACCCAAGACGGTAGAGGCCAGAAAAGGTGTCCCTGGAAGAAGGCCACACTGCTGAGGACCCAGGAAGGTTGTTCGTTTCTTACAGCAGCCAGGGAAACGAAGGCAGCCAGCAGGACTGCACAGCAGGGCAAGACAAATGTCCCAGCCTCTGCGGGTCAAGAAACACCAGCCCTGAACTCACACTGCTCCCGGTCAAGCCCAGGCAGGTGTCCCAGTGCAGCCCACAAGCCGCACACGCACCTGCCGGGGGCCATCCTGGCGAACCCCCGTGGCATTCATGGCAACGTGACGAATTGCCACGCTGCAGTGTTAAATCAGAAAGAAGCAGGCACAGGAACGAAGAGATACCTGAAGAGTTCTTCATCCAGGAACAGCAGGAT